TAAATTAGGTACAAAATTTTGGTCTCATCAGGAGAGGATAGATAATTGAGTTTTCTCTAAATTTGCCAAATACAAATGGACTGTACATTGTAAATGTAATTGTAACCTGATAATTGTTCTGATTGTATATAGTTTGATTATGTTAGAGTTAGAACATTTCCTTTTTATTTAGACAAAAAGGGGAAATGTTGCAGAATATTCCCTTACACTATGTGATGATGAGTCACTGTGATTGGATTAATAAAGAGCTGAAAGGTCAATAGCTAGGCAGGAAGAGGTTAGGCAGTACTTCTGGGGACAGAGAGGTCTCAGGAAAGAAGAAAGGCAGAGTCACCAGCCAGAAACAGAGGAAGCAAGACATGCAGGAGGAGAGGAAAAAGCCAGAAGCCACATAACAGCACATAGATTAATAGAAATGGGTTAATTTAAGTTAAAAGAGCTAGTTAGAAACAAGCCTAAGCTAAGGCCAAGTTTCCATAATTGACAATAAGTCTCCGTGTCATGATTTGGGGGCTGGAGGTCCAAAAAAGGCCTGCTATAGTGCTTGGCATTGAATTCAAAGCTTGTGACATCCCAAACAATACTGGGTTATATTCCTGTCTTGGTCACTGTTCTGTTGCTGTGAAGAGACCCATGACTATGGCAACTCTTATAAAAGAAAACATTTAATTGGGCTTGATTACAGTTTCAGAGGTAAAGTCCATTATTCTGGTGGGAGCATGATATTATGCAGGCAGACTTGGTACTAGAGGAAGAGCTAAGGATTCTACATCAAGATCCACAAGCAGCAGGAAAAGACAGACTCTGGGACTGGCTTGGGCTGAAACCTAAAAAGCCCACCCCCATGACATATTTCCTTAAATAAGACCACACCTACAACAAGGCCACACCTCTTAATCCTTTCAAATAGTGCCACAATTCCCAACCCCAGACATTCTCTCCTGAATTAAATACAACTCTATACAATTAAATGATCCACTGTCTTCGCATGCAGTCAATCACAAATATCTTGTGTGCAATATAATAAATAAATGTATTAGAATGTTTTATGTAGCATGGAAGACAGGTACTCATCAGTATGGGTGTTGATGCATACAAGAAGGGTTATGAAACACAAAACAGCTCAAAGGGATCAAGGCGTGGATAATGAGGAGTGTTTTGAGCATGAGGTCTGTGTTAAAAACACCTGTGAAGGGATGTTTGCCTCAGTGTATAGCACTGGCATCTCCACACACAAATCAGTGTTATGAGAGTGCTAGGAACAAATATGATCTGAATTTGCTCCTAACCGATGTTGAGTGTCAGCACATGTGAGGCAGATTTGCCTTAAAACAGTTCCTAAAGTGAGTTGTTTGATAACTCACTTCTCCTAAAGTGAGCAGTTGCCAGAGATCTGCCAGTGGACAATGTTTTAGCTGTCATGAGTATGTGTTTTTAATTCAAGGAGAGATGACAGAATTGAGGGCTGATACCACAACTGGATTAAGCATCTTTCTTGAGAAAGGGAATTTTCAGAAGTCTTGAACTTAGTGACCTCGATGGACAGTGAAGGGAATCACATGTGAAATCCCTTAAATAAAAATTTATTGGTGGGCAGTGATGGTGTATGCCTTTAATCCCAGCATTCCGGGGTAAGGGGCAGGTGGATCTCTGAGTTCTAGGCCAGCCTGGTCTACAGAGTGAGTTCCAGGACAGTCAGAGCTACACAGAGAAGCCCTGTCTCAAAAAAAAAGTATTGACTTTCCAAAGAAATGTTTTATGTAGCCTATACATTTTCACTTCCTGTACATTTTTGAAGAAAGCACACACAAATGTAGCCTATGTTACAGCCTTTCTTTAAATGTTAAAAGAAACAGATAATGATATCTATACATGGAAGCTCTTTTACTTGCTGACACTGTAGTAGAATCGTTCAAAATGTGTTTGTGGTTATCGGTGACCTTACTAAAAGTGGGCAAACGCAGGTGATGATTTAAGGTCTCCAGAAAAGTGTGACACCATTTCTATTCCACAAGATTCTAAGAAATAGTCCCACAAAAAATAAGTATTTTTCAGGGAACATTCAAGATTATTTTAAATTGAACATATTATTTTTCTGTTTGATTCACTCTCTTATTGAAAGAAATATAAACCTCATAACTGCAAATTTGACAGAAATAAAATCCTCTACAAATGTCACAAAACGGATGCAGTATGAAGTTAAGACTCTAAGTGTCGCTGTTCCCTAACCCGAGCAAGACAATCAGTGGGAACTGGGTTGTGTCCTGTTGAGATACCAAAGCTGGGCAGGAATTCTAATCTGAAACGGTTCTCAGCAGGTCTCTGTTAATTATTTAAAGGTCTTTATCTCTAATTTTGTGCATTACAAAGTGGGGTGGAGCTGTTCGTCCTACCAGTTATCACTGGGAAGTCTTTAACAAGTCAGTCATGACGCCTCACCAGACCCTCCCCCCCTGCTGCGAGCTGCTCCTGCTTTTCAATCTCCTGTGGTGCTTGTGGGGTTCCGAAGCTGGGCAGATCCGCTACTCTATTCCTGAGGAACTAGACAAAGGTTCCTTCGTGGGCAGCATCTCCAAGGACCTGGGTCTGGAGCCCCGCCAGCTGGCGGAGCGCGGGGTCCGCATCGTCTCCAGAGGTAGGTCGCAGCTTTTCTCCCTGAACCCGCGGAGCGGCAGCTTGGTCACCGCGGGCAGGATAGACCGGGAGGAGCTGTGCGCCCAGAGCGCGCCCTGCCTCGTGAGCTTTAACATCCTTGTGGAGGATAAACTAAATCTTTATCCCGTGGAAGTGGAAATAGTAGACATTAATGACAATGCACCACGATTCTTAAAGGAAGACTTGGAAGTAAAAATTCTCGAAAATGCGGCTCCATCCTCTCGTTTTCTACTAATGGGTGTCTATGATCCCGATGTGGGAGTGAACTCCATTCAGAGCTTCAAGCTCAGCGGCAGTAGTCACTTCTCAGTACATGTGCAAAGCCAAGCCCACGGGCCCAAGTACCCGGAGCTGGTGCTGGAGCACACCCTGGACAGGGAGGCAGAAGCGGTTCACCATCTGGCCCTTATTGCCATGGATGGTGGTGACCCTGTCCGAACAGGCATGGCACGAATTCTGGTAACTGTCGTGGATGCGAATGACAATGCTCCAGTATTTACTCAGCCTATCTATCGTGTGAGTGTTCCTGAAAATCTGCCAGTGGGTACAAAAAAGTTAACAGTTAATGCCACTGACCAGGATGAAGGGGTCCACGCAGAAATAACATACTCCTTTGTGACGATCACAGAAGAGATCTCACAGATTTTCTGCTTAGATCGTGTAACTGGAGAAATTTCCACTTCTGAAACTCTAGACTATGAGGATTCAAAATTTTATGAGCTGGATGTTGAAGCCCGGGATCAGCCAGGTCTGCAAGACAGAGCAAAAGTTCTAATAACCATCTTGGACGTGAACGACAATGCTCCAGAAGTGGTTGTTACATCTGGTAGCAGAGCAATCGCTGAAAACGCACCTCCAGGGACAGTAATTGCTCTTTTTCAAGTTTATGATAAAGACTCTGAACAGAATGGCCTGGTAACATGCTCCGTCTCAGAAAGTCTCCCATTTAAACTGGAAGAATCACTAGACAATTATTTTCGATTGGTGACAACTACAGAACTGGATCGGGAACAGGTGTCCTCATATAACATCACTGTGACAGCCACTGACAGAGGAATACCACCTCTGTCTACAGCAAAGTTCATCTCCTTGGATGTGTCAGACATTAATGACAACCCACCAGTTTTCTCCCGTTCCTCCTATTCTGTTTATGTCCCTGAGAATAACCCTAAAGGTATCTCCATCTTCTCTTTGAAGGCAGTGGACTCTGACAGCGAAGAGAATGCCGAGATTATCTACTCTCTGACCAAAGAAACCCTCCAGGGTACACCTCTATCCTCTTTCCTCTCTATCAACTCCAACACTGGTGTCCTGTATGCACTGTGTTCCTTTGACTATGAACAGTTTAGAGAACTAAATCTACTGGTGTCAGCCAGTGACAGAGGGAAACCCCCACTTAGCAGCATTGTGTCACTAAACTTGTTTGTGCTGGACCAGAATGACAATGTACCTGAGATCCTGTACCCTGTCCTACCCACTGATGGTTCTACTGGTGTGGAATTGGCTCCCCGCTCTGCAGAGCCTGGGTACCTAGTGACGAAGGTGGTGGCGGTGGACAAAGACTCAGGGCAGAATGCCTGGCTGTCCTACCGTCTGTTCAAGGCCAGTGAACCAGGGCTCTTCTCAGTGGGACTGCACACGGGTGAGGTGCGCACTGCTCGGGCCCTTCTGGACAGAGATGCTCTGAAGCAGAGCCTGGTGGTGTCTGTGCAAGACCATGGCCAGCCCTCACTCTCAGCTACTGTCACACTCACTGTGGCTGTGGCCAGCAGCATTCCGGACATCCTGGCTGACTTGGGCAGCCTTGATCTTCCACACAAATCTGATGACTCAAGCCTTACAATCTACCTGGTGGTGGCAGTGGCCACTGTCTCTTGCATCTTCTTTGCTTTTGTGATGGGGCTGCTGGTGCTCAGGCTGTGGCACTGGCATAAGTCAAGACCACTGAAGGCCACAAGGAAAGATGTGTCAAATATGTCCACTTCACACTTTGTGGGTATTGATGGGGTGCAGGCTTTTCTGCAGACCTATTCCCATGAGGTCTCCCTCACAGCAGACTCCAGGAAGAGTCATCTGATCTTTCCCCAGCCCAACTATGCCCACACCCTCATCAGTCAGGAGGGCTGTGAGAAAAATGAGCCTTTATTAACACAGGAAGACTCAACTTTTTGTAAAGAGGAAGACTCTCTTGACCAGGTAAGGTTATTGCTTTTATTTTAAAAAAAACAGTAAATTGTAATGTTCTCTTTGAACATCACTAAGTCTTTTCTCTTTGCCGTTAATGAATCACATTTGTCATTGTTTGTATATGAAATGTCTCCCAGAGATCCAAAGCTTGGTCTCCAATAAAAGTAGTGAGAGGTGAACTTTTGGAAAGATGTTGTACTGTGAGGATCCTGACCCTCAGGGGTGTGCACTACCACACCTGGTTTACAAAGTGCTGAGAATCAAACCCAGGCCTTTATGCATACTAGGGGAGCATTCTACAAACTTTCGCCAGTTCTTAGTGAAAGTTATGTGCACATTCTTTGTCTCTGCATCTTGGTTGTTTCTTCCCATATTTGCCCATTTCCTGTCCTATTTGGCAAGAGTTGGCTTTCTGTTCCAGAATCTTTTGTGACCTTTGTCTAACTTTGGCCTGGTGATAAACCAATTGCTGGGGTAAGTGCCAATAGACCATTGTGCCATTGTCATTTTCCTGCTGTGCGTGTTAAGTATAGATTATGTTTAAAGCTGGGTTGCTTTGCTGATCTGCCATCCTGTATAGTGTCATCCTTTCACAAGGACATAGACTGAATATCAGGTTTGTCTCAGTTCTCAGAGGAAAACACATAACCTTCTGAATGTTGAAAGGTGCATGAAAAGCTCTTTATGGGTCTTGCTTCGGTCAGAGGTCACAAATGCACTGAACTTCATTTTGACTGCTACCACTCCAATGATAGCAAAAAAACAGCACTTTTCACTTCTTATGAATTAAATTTTAAAAATCACTGATGCCTGTGGAAGGGACTACCTAATCTTGGTGCTTTAAAAAACTCAATAATATGCTTAGAACCACTTGTCACTCATTTATGCCAATGAAAATCTCTATGGTCTTCCAATTGATACTAAATTTTTTTTGATACTACAATTTTTAAACCTTGATTTAACTGCCTCACACAATTCTGGAAGAGGAAATAAAACAACTTTGTGAAATATTTTCCCAGTAATAAAGTAGCATAGTAAACAAGTGTTTGTTGACATCACCATTATTATAATTGTTATATTTAATTACAATGACGTGTATTAGGTACTTGATAGTATTTAATAATAAAAATGAGTTTTAATATAAATCACTTAAAGAAAATATCTCTAAAAGTACTGAGTGACTGGCAAATTGGAGGAGGAAGATGTAATAGATACAAGGGAATTTATGTAACTTAGCAATTAAAGAAAATAAGCTTCTGTCATATGGAAACTAGAGTTTAATACATAGGAACTCTGTATTTAAGTATTTGAAGGAAATAAAGATTCTTATTTAGAGGAATTGGTTTTATTATTTATTGTCAAAGATACAAATGGATTACCAAGCAGAAAATGGTGAATTTTTTAATTGTCAAAGTGATTCTAGCATGAATAACAAGAAAGAGACTCCTAATGAGTGGGAGAGTCTATGATTGACCCTCCTCAAATGTACACTGACAATGATTAGGTAGGTGTGGTAGTGCACATCTTAATTCCAGAACTTAGAGGACTGAAGCAGAAGTCTGAAGCTAGCCTGTGCTACATAGTGAGAAGCTGCCTCAAAGTAGGAGGGTGTAAAATTGATAGCCAAGGAATTAATAAAATTCAGAAGATTCGATAATTTGCTGAATGGTTGAACATTTAAGTTATTCCCCATCCTAAGAAGATTCCATGATCTGACAATAGAACAGTCGGACTACTTATATGAATTTGGTGTGCATGTGTAATAACAACCCAGCTTTGAATACATATTGAAAATGTATAAGGCTCTCCTTTGTAACCTGATGCTGACAGTAACAATAAATGAAGAGTCTGGAATTCAGCTCTGTGGTACAGTTCTTGCCAGCACAAAGCCCCATTTCAGTCCTAGTACCACAAAGCTGGGTAACAAGGAGCTTGCCTTGCTTTTCTCGTGCCTTGGTTTAAACATTGCCACGAGGAAGGAAGGAAAAGGGGGGAGAAAGAGGTAAAAAGAAAATAAGATGAACAGGAAAAGAAGGGAGAGAGAGAGAAGAAGAAAAACAACATTATTAAAATAGTTTTTTAGACAAGATCTTGTTGTGTAGCACAGTGTAGTTTAGAAATCCCTGTGTGATCCAGGCTGGCCTTAAAGTTGTGATCCTCCTGCCTCCAGCTCCCAAGTGCTAGACTACCACCATACTTGCCTAGTTTGTGATTTTAAATAAAAGGATAGGCATAATACATGTTTTCCCAAACCAATAATGGGCCATTTACATGTTTGTAGTTACTATGGAAGAGTTTGTTTCCAATCTTGAGTTTTCAAATTGGTTTGTTTGAACACTGGTTGGTTTGTTTGAACACTGGTAATATGATTCTTTGATTTTGTTTTAATTCAATATTAATTCTAAACAATCTATAGCCTATGTATTAGTCATGTGGACTAAATAGCCTTCTACACAAATAAGATTATCTGTTTTATAAGCTCTGAGAGGACCAGGTCTACTTTACTGTATCACCAATTTTGAGTGATTTTAAACTATATCTTGAATATCCATCAACATCGCCAAAGCTAGCTAACTGGGTTTCATGAGTAAATGGCTGGTTTATTTTAGTCTTTCACCTGAGTTTCCTGTGGCCATATAGTTTGAGCAAATAAAACATTTCCCTGTAGAAAATCTACCAGATTCTACTCGCACAGTAGCCATTTATTCATGTGAACTGATCGACTGTTAAACATCAGGACATCGTGAACTAAAAGAAACTTTCTGATCAACTTGCCATGCAAATGATTAATACCAAGCTAAGCTGTCAGAGAGTTTGACCATATACTGGGTTTTGAATCCTCGTGGGAACAAATCTGCAAGATCACCTGCCTTTTTATCATCTGCCCAAATCATCCATTTCTAGTCAAACAGTTGTCGAGGTGACAGTTGTCAAGGGGAAAGAATAAACTAGCATAGAGAGTCATTGTAAAATACCTACATTTTAAATAAGAAATAAACTAAACAGAGCTCCAAACAAATGGTTCATCAACAGAAAATTTCAAATAGAAGGTAAAATATTATATAGAGATGCATTTGCAGTGTCGATTTACCATATTGAATTAAATAACGTTTGCATGTTTGCTGCATAATCTTAATTTTCTCTAAAATGTGAATCGATGCTCAAGAACGTAACTTCAAAGTTGCTTCGTGAAAGATATTTTTTAAAAGTTTTTTGATTTATCAAGTAGCCTATACCTTAAAATGTATCTTTAAAGTATATCCGTAGTGTCTGGAATGAAGAAATTTAAGTAAACAGAAGTTTTGAAGAATTAAACAGCTTTCTGAAAACTCAGTTCATTTTGCTTCAAGATGGTGCAGTAACTGAGTAAGGACTCTGCGTGCCGCTGTTCACCAACCAAGAGAAGATGGTGCCTGTAAACTCAGAACCACCGAGTTTACAGCACAAAGAAAGGACATAATAGCCCTCTTCCGAGCTGCGCCAGACTCAAGCCTTTATTCGGCTGGATTCCTAGCTTTTCTTTCATACCCTGGGTCCGCGTGGACACAACTGGGTCCTGAAGCACATTACGAGACCTCTCAGGGTCTGAGTAAGATCCGCAAGACAGCAATGGCGACTGGGCAGAGGGGCGCCGGCTACAGAGGATTCGTGCTGCTCTCCATCTTTCTGGGGACCCGATGGGAAGCCAGGGCAGGACAGATTCTCTACTCTGTGTCTGAAGAGACTGACAAAGGGTCTTTTGTGGGAAATATCACCAAGGACCTGGGACTGCAGCCTCGGGAGCTGGCGCAGCATGGAGTCCGCATCATCTCCAAAGGTAAGACCCAGCTTTTTTCTCTGAACCCGCGAAGCGGCAGCTTAGTTACAGCGGGCAGGATAGACCGGGAGGAGATGTGCGCCCAGAGCCCGCGGTGTCTCATAAGCTTTAACATTTTGATAGAAGACAAAATGAATCTTTACCCTATAGAAGTGGAAATAATGGATGTTAATGACAATGCCCCCAGATTCTTAACGGAAGAAATAAACGTAAAAATAATGGAGAATGCAGCTCCTGGGATGAGGTTTCCACTAACTGAGGCTACAGATTCAGACGTGGGCACGAACTCCCTCCAAAAATACCAGCTCAGCCCCAATCGCCACTTCTCCCTGGCTATGCAAAGTGGAGATGATGGAACTAAGTACCCGGAACTGGTACTGGAGAAAGTTCTTGATCGGGAAGAAGAGGGGATTCACCATCTGGTTCTCACGGCCTATGATGGCGGAGACCCACCCAGATCTGGCACTGCCAGCATCCGCGTGACAGTGGTGGATGTGAATGATCACGCGCCAGTCTTCTCTCTGCCCCGGTATCAAGCTACGGTCCCTGAAAACGTGCCGGTGGGCACAAGACTTCTCACAGTAAATGCTATCGACTTGGATGAGGGAGTCTACGGGGAAGTGACATACTCTTTCCGGAAAGTAACTCCAGAACTTCTACAAATATTCCATCTGAGTTCCCTTACAGGAGAACTGTCGACTTTAAAAGATCTGGATTATGAAGAATCCAGCTTCTATGAACTAGAAGTTCAGGCTCAAGATGGTGCTGGTAGTCTGACCAAGGCAAAAGTACTGATCACGATTTTAGACGTGAATGACAATGCCCCAGAAGTGACTGTCACATCTGTGAGCAGCCCAGTCCCTGAAGATACACCACCTGGAACAGTGGTCGCTCTTTTCTACCTCCAGGACAAAGATTCAGGAAAGAATGGTGAGGTGACCTGCTCTTTTCCAGAAAACCTGCCTTTTAAGTTAGAACGATCTATTGATAATTATTACAGATTGGTCACTGCACAAAACCTGGACCGGGAAAAGATGTCAATGTACAACATCACGCTGAAAGCCACAGACGGTGGAATTCCTCCTCTGTCCACAGAAACTCACTTACCCATTCATGTGTCAGACACCAATGACAACCCACCAGCCTTCTCTGACTCCTCTTACTCCATCTACATCCCTGAGAACAATCTCAGAGGTGCCTCCATCTTCTCAGTGACTGCACAAGACCCTGACGGTGACAAGAATGCCCAAATCACTTATGCTTTAGCCGAGGACACCATCCAGGGGGTACCAGTGTCCTCCTATATCTCCATCAACTCTGACACTGGTGTGCTCTATGCACTTGGATCCTTTGACTATGAGCAGTTTCAGAATCTACAACTAAGAGTGACTGCACGTGACAGCGGGGACCCACCTCTCAGCAGTAATGTGTCAGTGAACCTCTTTGTGCTGGACAAGAACGACAATGCCCCTGAGATCCTGTACCCCGCCCTCCCCACTGATGGTTCCACGGGGGTGGAGCTGGCTCCCCGCTCTGCAGAGCCCGGATACCTAGTGACCAAGGTGGTGGCTGTGGACAAAGACTCAGGACCAAATGCTTGGCTGTCCTACCGCCTTCTCAAAGCCAGTGAACCAGGGCTTTTCTCAGTAGGGCTACACACAGGTGAGGTGCGCACAGCAAGGGCCCTTCTGGACAGAGATGCACTTAAACAGAGCCTTGTGGTAGCTGTTCAGGATCATGGCCAACCCCCACTCTCAGCCACGGTGACACTCACTGTGGCTGTGGCCAACAGCATTCCTGATGTTCTGGCAGACCTTGGCAGCATCAAGACCCCCAGTGAACCTGATGATTCAGACATCACTCTCTACCTGGTGGTGGCAGTGGCCACTGTTTCCTGTGTTTTCCTTGTCTTTGTCACTGTGCTATTGGCTCTCAGACTGTGGCGTTGGCACAAGTCACACATGCTACAGGCTACAGGTGGTGGGCTGGAAGATGTGCCTGCCTCACACTTTGTAGGTTTGGATGGGGTTCAGGCTTTCCTACAAACTTATTCCCATGAGGTTTCACTCACTGCAGACTCTCGAAAGAGCCACATTATCTTCCCTCAGCCCAACTACGTGGATACACTTATCAGCCAAGACAGCTGTGAGAAAAGAGATTCTTTGTTAACATCCATAGATTTTCAACAATGTAAGGGTGAAACCCCAAGTAACCAGGTGAGTTCACTTCTTTTCTTTTTCTGTGTGCCTGTGTATATGCAGTGTTCTTATGTCAGGTGTCATCTTCTACTGCTTTCCACCTTGTCTATTGAGGTAGGGTCTCTTATCTAAATCCAGAGCTGGCCAATTTGACTAATATGGTTAGTCAGCTTGCTCTGAGATTCCCTGTCTCCATCTCTTGTGCGGTGGAATCACAGGTGGGCCACCATGCCTACCTGGTACTTCCATGGGTTCTGGGGATCCAAACTGTGATTCTCACACTTTCGAGTCAAACAATTTATCCATGAGCCATCTCCAAAGGCCTGTCTTACTTTATTTCCACAAGAATTCTATTTTGCCTGAAATATCTCTGTCATTTTGCAAAACCAATAACTTGGAAAGTGTATAATTAAAACAATTAACATGTTGCAGAAAAGTCTACCATTTTTTCAGTGGTTGCACTTTAGCAAGAAGCACATAGGTTGTGATGTCTTCTAATTAAAGCCTGTGGACGAGAATGTGAATAAGTAGACTAACATATTTTTGTGCTATCTACCAACTTCCCACCTCATTTTCTTAGCTCAAATATTATCTAAGTGAAAATGAATTGTTGATGGCTACCTTCCTTGGATTCTTCTTAGAAGTCAAATCAGTAAAAGAGTATCAACGATCTTTTCAAACTGAAGCATTTCTCTGCTTTGCTTCTATCTTCATGTAATTCAACTTAGTGACCTTAAGCAGAGGGCTTACTTGTTCAACTATGTAAAGCATCATCTACTAAAGTTGGGTTGCTCATAGAATATTAGATAGATGCTTCAAGATGAAATGTGTCCAGCTGGGTAGATACCTTACTCAGTATGAATACTTACTTACTGCACTTACTTACTGCACTTACTTACTGCACAGCATGAATCCCTGATCAGTTCTCAATACTCATGTAAAAAATGCAGATATGGTGATGCATTTTTAACCCAGTACTGGGGAGACAGAGACAGGCATCTCTGGGATTAGTTGGGCCAGCCTATCCTAACTGGTGAAGCCCAAGTCCCAGTGAGAGACCCTGACTCAAAAATAAGCTGGATGATTCCCAAGAAACAATGCCTGGAATTCACCTCTGGTTTACACACACACACACACACACACAGAGAGAGAGAGAGAGAGAGAGAGAGAGAGAGAGAGAGAGAGAGAGAGAGAGAGAGATCACACAAAAGAATGAAATGTGTCAAGCCTCACTACTATCTGCATAAAAATAGACATGGTGCCTAATACCACACTAAAGTTAATTGGTCAAATAGATTAAATATGTCAAATAAGATGATGGCTGCAACACAAGGGAGATAGAAGCAAGACCTCTAGGCCAGCTTCTTCTTCTATTACAACCCCCAGCATCTTTTCAAGTATTGGAACTCATTTGGGAAATGGACAGCTGCATGTCTTCACACACAACTCCAACATATTCTGTTTGGTGGTACTCCAGTGTCTGAGAAAATACTGGGAAAGTTGGTTCTAAGAAATAACCACCTCATATTCTCAACCCCAGACTAATATTCACTTCCTTTATCCATTCTTCTGGGGTACAAAAGATTAGAAATAAGTGAGCTTGGGGATTGACTACTTTCATACTCTTCCACAGAGTGTTTTTTGTACCACACTTATTCATAAGAGGCATATGACAAGGTGATAATGATTACTGGGACCCTCTGAGTGCTAATTAAAGGGGTTTTCTAGTGTGATATTGTATTTTTCTGGTATTTTCCATATAAGCAAGCATTTAGTAGCATGAGAGAATATTTCACTCCTGTGGCGTTCTGATATGTAGTCATTTAGGAAGAGGACAATATTACATTTTTGAAGAAAGGTACACTGGTGCAAATAGGGTTTCCAAATATAATGAGAAGAAACTGCCCTAATCAACACATATTAAATTCTCAAATACGTTTTTAAACAAAGAGGATAAGTCATCGTTAAACTCAGGGAGCTGTTGAAAGCAAGCTTGCCGGGAAGGTTTCCCTCCAATTCTGAAGTTATCTTGAAATATAAAGCAAGTGCATAGGAAGGGGCCAGTACTGGAGTTCTGTAGACTTTAGTCCCTTTATAAACTATTGTTTCCTTGGTGATTTGAATTTTGAGTTTATAGTTTAAAATGAGAATAACTGTAATGGGAAATGGGTGGCCTAACAGTTCAGCCTGTATCATTTCCTTACTTGAGATAGTGGAAGTAAGAATCACATAATACCGCTGTAAGGCAATTGTTCAAAGTATTTTGCAAAATGAAATGAGTAGGATGATGTGTGTG